TTCGAAAAAATGATCATGTCCTGTTTTGGCTTAAATCCCGAATAAGCCAATGTGGCCGCGTATTCTTTTCTTGATAGGCATTATAACTACTCGAGTTAATGTTATTCATCGACAGCCCAGAATCTCCATTATTCATTATTCTTGAACAAGAACCAGTTTTCGACTCATTAGTCTCGTCTATCAAACCTCTGTTCCTCCTCCTATTGCATTGCCCGATGCCTAGCGTTAGTTCGACCTCCAAATCATTTTCCTCATTAGCTGCTTTCGTGTCATTTTGATTTCGGGTGATATGTAAGTAGCTCGTGCTTTCTATTGCCAGTCGTGCTTTCATGAGTCTGTTTTTTTCGAGTTCTTGCATTAGTTTCTTTTGAAGATTGTACAGCCGGTGGAGTTCGTGAACCTGAAAATCGTTGCAAAACTCAGCTAAATCCTTATTTTGTTCAAAGGAAAAAATAATGTTTTTTTTATTGCAGGTTAATGTTTATTGTACTTTGTAGTACACTTCTAGCCAGCAGGGAATTGAAATAAGGCTAAAATGCAATTTTGGTTATGAGATTATGAAGGTAGTAATTTAGGATCCACTGAGTCACATATAGAAATTTTAAGTCGTGTAATTTAATATTTTGCTGCAACTGTGACCATTAAAATTTTTCGATTTTGACGGTAAAAAATGACTGAAATTGTGACATAAATTCAAATTAAAATTGCTAATCAAAATTAATCTCAAATATATTAATTGGGGATTTTGACGACCAAATGACTGATATTTGCAATATAATTTTAAATTTCATGACTTAAAATTGCTAATCAAAATTCATCTCAAATATATAAATTGAGAATTTTGACCGACAAATAACCACCAAAATTTTAAATTACACAGACTTAAAATGTTATATGTCACTCGAGTGAGACCTGAATAGCTGCATTCATAATTTAAAATCGGACCAAATTTGCAATTTAGCTAAACAACATACCTGTTGTTTGAAAACTTGTTCTTGCATCAGCATCATCTTCCTCATCGACTCGATTTTCTGATATCCAAACATTCTATCCATGGAAAAATCGAGCCCGTGTAATCCGAATCCCGGTTCTGGATAGCGCGGGCGAATGCTCGACGGACCACTCACAGCAAAGTAGTGATTTTGTGGAGCTTTATTCAACAAATCTAGCCAAGGTTGAAGTGTAGTTCTCATGCCTGAATAGGGACACAAGCATTGTTTGTAGCCACTGAGATCATTACAGTGGAAAACTTAAACAAAAAATTTTGTCTTGAAAAAAAAAACAAATCATTACTGTTTGAAACATGTCTGCATATACATTGTCAAAAGAGAAAGACTTGGGAGATAAAGTTAACATGAAAAGGGAACAAGGAGCTTGTGTGATAGTCTTTGATTCCCTTTTGACAAACTTTTGAAGTACTTATGTTGAAAAAACTTGTGTCCATATTTCTTTTTCTATTACACAAAATGCTTTTTTTTTTAATTAAATTGTAATAAAAGTATCAAATGAGATTTTGTATGAATATGAAAATTCGGTATGGCTACCCGCATTATTTTCGTAACAAAAATGCATACTTTCAAATTAAATGTCATATTCTGAAAAATAACATAAACAAAAGTATGATATTTCATAATATAAGTATGTGTTTTTGTTATAAAAATGTATGATAAATCGATAGTTCCTAACAATTAGACTGATCACACAAGAATTTCGTGATAAATCAAATTATGAATATTGACTAGTTGCAATAAAATTTGCAAACTAGCTCTAGTCTCTTTTCTTATTTCCTAATTCAAATAATAGATGTATCAAATTTTTACATCTCAAAAACTAAAGTACCATGATTTTTCTTTATTTAGGCTCATGAAGAATTTTGATATATATAACTGATAAATCATGACTTCAGCCAATGTATTTAAATGGAACACTTTATAAGTATTAAATAAAAAATTAATAAATTTTTTATTCTTTATTGGGCTTACTTCAGCCAATGTATTTAAATGGAACACTTTCTAAGTATTAAATAAAAATTTAATAAATTTTTTATTCTTTATTGGGCTTTAGCTTTGTATCAGTACAAGTGGCTTTGTAACTAAATGTGAACAATTTTAAAATTATTGGACCAAGATTTAGTTTGAACAAATTCTGTTAAAATTAGTAAGTATTAATTAACATTACAAGTTGAAATTCTAACATATGACCTGTTCTTATAATTGAATTTGGACACATTTTATATGTTATCTTTTCTCTATATTAATTTATTTAATATATGTGGGTAGGTATATTCGTGCCCGTGAATAGGATCAGAACATAAAACAAAAGGTTCGAGATATCCTCCCTATATATTATTCTCGAATGCGCTGAGCCCACATGGCTGTTTCTTGTGCTTCGTAATTCTACTTGGCAAGGAATCATGCTTCGTAATTAAGTTTGGACAAATAATATTGATATATTCATTATTAATAATCTAGGTTCGGACATTCCATAAATATTAAATAGCTAACTTAGGTATTTTAATATCACTTGTACTAATATAACCCTTTAATTCTTTGTAATTTTACATAAGACATTAAGTGACTAATATATGCCTGACTTTTGATTTGTTTCCTTCAATTAGTTATTAATTGTAAATGTATTTTAAAAGTTGATAACTTTTGTATTTCTTATCGGTTTTATATACATAATATTTCAAGTTAATCATCTTTTGATAATCTTCGATTTGACATCCATATTGTATATATGATATAAATAAATTATATTTATCTTTATAATAATAAAAAATAATAATATTTATTAAAATTTATTAGAAATATAAAATTATTTTTCAATTGATAATATTTATGTTTAATGTAGTTATATGTTGTAAGTTAAAAAATTATTATAATATAACACAAGTAAGTCGCATAAATAAAAGAGTGTCATACTATATATATAATAATATATATATATTTTTATAAAAGGTATTTAAATTTTCAACTACTTTTTCTCATTAATTTTAGATTTTTTGAAAAAATTAGCAAGCACCCGTATAATACACGGGCGTTACACTAATGAATATTATATATATTAACAAATTTAAAAAGATTTTATAAAAGTTGAAAGTTGTTCAAACTAAAATAGCTAGCTCGGGTTTCATTTACTAAAAGGGTTGTTTTGTTTGGTCTCCATCCTAATTTAGATCCATAGTTAAAGAGGATAAGGAAATAATAATAAATACCACATTTAATAAAGCTAAATGTAGAGACGATCAAATTTTCTAGAAACGCAATCGCGATCTCGTCTCCATCAAAAGCACTATAATTAGAGAAATTCTAAGAAGATTTTTGTTGATATGGTAAAGCCGAGTCTATACTTATATAAAAAGTCATCCTATTTGCTAGAACTAGTAGGAAGAAAAATCAATTCATAATTAATTGCACACCATATTTCGAAAGATTTTAGATTTTTTACATCATAAAATATAGTAACATTAAATGCCCCTATAATTATGGGTTTTGTTGAATTCATTTTAATAAAATATGCATCCAAATTTACGTGTGGTTTTAAAGTGAAAATTTGAAATTCAAAATCTCTTCTCATTTTAGTTACAGGAAAATCGAGTTACATTCAACACCTGGACCAATTTAAAAATTATTCCTTAAATGAATGAATTTATAGATAATTGTTATCTCTACTCAATCACATGATTATTTTTAATATAAAAAGAGACAGGTTACAAATTAGTGAATCATATATTACCTAATTCAATATCTTAATATTAAGTAATAAATACATAGTATTATGTCAATCTGTATCTCATATTATTATATCATTAAAATATATTATAATTATATTATCAAATCATAAAAAGATATTAAGTCCATATTGTAAAAAAAAATCATATAATATTATAACAATTCTACTATACTATTTGACAGTATTCCTTTTTATTATATAATAAAATAATAATTAAAATATTATATGGTGAACAAGAATAAGTAAAACTGTTATTTTCTCTTATATCAATGGATAAATTTATATGCTAAAATTAAATTTTTATTAGTATAAATATTTTTGTGAGATAATATATTAATTATTTTACAAGTTAGTTCTAACATGCTCATATTTAATTTTCTGGCTAAAAAAACAACGTTGGTAAAAGATGTGAAAAAAAAACTTATAACCCTATTGTTTTTTAGATTTAACGTTGATTAAAAAAAGGTAGAAAATAGATAATAACCTTATTACTTTTTAGACTTAAACGAACAAGACTATGAAAATAACTCATTTAATATATTTGTCCCGTGCATCACACGGGATACGTACTAGTTTGTGTTTAAGAATCAAACCTTAGTCCAAGATTTCAAAAAAGGTTGTTCAAACTTCAAAAGACTATATAAGTAGATAATTTTGTGAAATAGCTTTTAAAGGAAAATTTAATATTCGAAAATAGGACCATTGAATGTGTCATGATGAGATTTTTTAACGGAATAAAATTAAATCTTTTCCTTTTGGTATGAAATATTGTGAAATCCAATATAAAACCTACTTTGAAATTGTGTGAGGGAATATGTACTAATTGTTAGACTATGATCCATATTGATATGGACATGAAAAGTTAATGCTAAAAAGATCATTAAAGTGTAATTTAATAAAAAAAAAGTATCACAAATCTGCATCTCTTTCACATAATATGTGCATCGGCTTCATAGCAAAACTGATGCACGCATTTTCTTTTATTTAGAATTTTGAGTCCTATGGCCTTTTGGAGTTAGATCCTTTTGATATGTTTTCAAGTGTGTGGATTATTTGGCTGAGAACAAAGTTTACTAAGATTCCTTTTCATTTAATTAAGATTAATGAGATTCGAATTCCCAAATCCACATACACTATATATAGTCTTTCCCATTATTCTTTCACTCAATTTATAACTTCCGAAAATTTGCATCTATTTTCTTTTTCCCCTAATGTTTTGACAAAAAGGATCAGCCGAAACTGGAGGCACCTTTGACGATTTTGCTATGAAGTCAACAGTTGGCTACACAGTGGAGTCAATCTTCTATATACAACAAATAAACATACCATATTAGTAAAATTATATAAGTGCATTTAAGTAATCAAAAAATATGACAAATTTACTTATTGTATGTAGAAAGTTGGCTCCACTATGGAGTCAACTGTTGACTTCATAGCAAAACTGACACCCTTGATTTGTTTAGGGTGTGATTAGATAGAAATTTGATTTAATCTTGATTTTAATTTTTTTTTTGTTAACTATAGCTAATTTTGAAAAAAGTGATGTCGTTGGTTAGTAGGATTTTGTGTTATATTAAAATAATATTTAAAGTAAAATAATTAAAATTGATTAATGTAAAAGTATGAGATAGATAATGTGAAGTGATAGTTAATTAAAAATATGTGAGTGAATAGCGCGAAGTAAAGTTGATGTGACATGTATGAATGACTGGTTTGTTATTATATAATTATATTGATTATATTAAAAATAGTGGAATTAGAATTAAAATTAAGCTAAAAATGTTTGAGTTGAAAACGATTGGTTTTCTTTTCTTTTCTTTTCTTTTTTTTTGGATTGAATCCATACCAATCACATCCTTACAGTCTTCTAGAAGATCATTTATTAAATATTATTTAGTAGTCTAGAAGATCATTTATTAAATATTATTTAGTAGTCGAGTGCAAAACAAATTGAATGGTTTGTGAACACACCTCGATTCGGCTCATACAAACAGTTGAGCTTGAATAGGTAATCAAGCTTGTTTATTAAACTAGCCAAGCGGAGTTTGTTCCTTGACCACCCATTTTTATTTGTTATTATTTTCTTATGTACTTTAAATGAAATAGCTAAATCAAATTTGTCTACGAACTACTCGTTTTAGGTTTTATATTTATTAAAAAAGTTGAGTTGATTTTTTACAAGTTTAAACAAGTCGAGCCGACTTGTTTAATGAATGAGTTCGAGTTGGAAAGGGAGCAACTCAACTCGAATAACATATTCAGTTGTAGTAAATATCTGTTGTGAACTTTTAACAAGCTCGAGATATGCGAACTAGGGTTTGAGCCTATATTGAATCGAATCGAGCTTGGCTCGTTGAATTAATGAGTCAACACGGAACTCGAGTCTGGCTCATAACGTGTCTTAGCGAGCCAATATATAATGAAACTATAAGAAATTATGTAAAGAGTCATGTATATC